AGGGCTGGGGGTCCTCGTTGAGCTAGAAGGGCCTGGGGGCTCGGGGCACAGGGGCTTGTGGAGTGGAGCAGGGGGTCTGCAGGGGGGAGGTCGGGAGAGCGTCTGAGTGAGGGAGCCCCAACTCTGGGGGCCTCCCATCCAGGCTCCTCATAACTGAAGAAACGAAGATCAATGATGCTAACATTCTCCCAAAATGATGATGGAGGAACTAATTACTGGAAAAATTTAAGATAATGGGAAATGGGGTGTGTGTATATATGTTCATCCTTTAGTAAGTGGTGGTCACAGAAGGCAGTGCCTGGGCTGTTGTGACAAGAAGCTTCCTTCCCCCAATGTTCAGGCCCTCATTCAAACTGAGGCTGGGCGGTGAGAAGCAACTGCCCACCTGGCTCATTTCATGGCTCGTTAAGCAGACACAGCAGACGCCCAGTCCTGCTTTGACCTTGAGGAGAGCTTGAACTTATGCACTGCTAAAGAGGCTGGACTGACCAAACGTCAGAGGGAACACTCAGGGAATCCTTATCTGCACAGAGTCGGGAGCCCATTTCCTCCTCCTGCAGTCCTGTGGGCATGACTAGGCACAGAGTCAGGGGCCCATTTCCTCCTCCTGCCGTCCTGTGGGCACGTCTAGGGCCAGACTGGAGCCCACACAGCGAGGAAACTGCAGGGCGGCCTCATGCATGGGGACAGGGGTGGGGGCGGCTGGATACTCCGAGGAACAGACACACCCCTGTCCCGGGCATCAGGACAGGAGTAGCCCTGACTTCATAAGCCTTTTTTAACCCAAGTCACATTCAAAGATTTAATAGGAACCAGAGGAAGACAGATATCATATGATATTATTTATATGTGGAACCAAAAAAAGGATACAAACGAACTTACTTACAAAACAGAAAGGGACTCGCAGACTTAGGGAACGCATTTGTGGTTACCGCTGGGGAGAGGAGAGTGGGATGGATCATTAGTGAGTTTGGGACCGACATGCACACACTGCTGTATTCAACACAGATAACCAACAGGGCTCTCCATGGAATGCTGCTCAATATTTTCTAATAACCTAAATGGGAAAAGCATTCGAAAAAGAATAGACATGTATGCAAGAGTGAGTCACTGCTGCACATCTGAAACTAGCACACACTGTTAACCAATTGTGTGCTGGTCCAGTCACTTCAGTCGTGTCCGACTCTTTGCGGCCCTGTGGACCACAGCCTGCCAGGCCCCTCTGTCCATGGGGCTTGCCATGCCCTTCTCCAGGGATCTTCCCAGGCCAGGGACTGAACCGGCATCTCTTACGTCTCCTGCATCAGCAGGTGGGTTCTTTTACCACTCTCCAGTATAAAGTAAAAATTCAAAAAAATTAAAGTTCAACCCTGAAAGATTGATTGGATGAATAGATAACTAAAAATGTATGTAAATAAAAGTGGATAAAACATCAAAATGGAGTTGCTGAAGGAACTGCAAAGGGATGGGGACCCTGGAATCTCTCGACCCTGATTTTCAAGGGCCCAGGGACACCCCTACAGCTTTGCAGGATCTGAGGGGCCCTGGGGAGACCCTGGGCCCTTTAGATTGGGAGTAGCCAGCCAGACCACACAGGGGGCCCCAAAGCAGGGGCTCCCCACAAGCAGACTCCAGTTTGGGAGGCAGGTTGGTCTGGACAGAAGCATGGTCTCCATGACCAAGAGGACTGTGCTGCCTGAGAGACCACTGAACCATGGAGACAGCTGGGGTGGTGGATGAGGGACCCTGGCACGGAGCGGGTGGGCGACCGCCACAGCCACGGAGAGGCCCTCCAGGACCTGTTTCTCTTGTGGGTGCTCGCTCTGTGCCCCCATCAGAGGCCGAGCCGCCTCTGCCTGCCCCGCAGGCCAGGAGAAAGACACACGGGGACCCCGCAGTCTGGCCTCCATGGCTCTGACCACTGGGGCGGGAGTGATCAGCCCACTCATGTCAGCAGCGCAGCTGAGGCCAGACGGCCGCCTCCATGGAGATGCTGTGCAGCCCCCATCTCCCGCCCCATGCTGGTGCCCTCTGGGGGACACGTGGGCCTCTGGTTTTAAGAAGAAAGCTGGGCATGCGGTGCCGTCACCGCGGCTGCATGTTCACTGGCAGCCTGAGGACTTCACTGCGCATGTTTCTGAGGCAAAGCAGGTCAGTGTGCTGGCCAGGTGCAAGGGCGGACCTGCAGGCTTGACTCAGCCGGTGTAGACTGCTAAGACAAAGCCCTGCGACGTGAGTCTGCTCCGTGCATGATCTGAGAAGCCCTGGCTGGTCCTCTGGAGCTGCTGTGGCCCCGGATGTTCACCCAAGCCCCTGACCCAAGACCCACCCACACTCCTGGGTGGTTGTGAAGAGGTCCTTAGCCTTAGTTTTATTTTAACTTTACTAATCTGTAGTGTCCATAACCAGATTTTTCCTTCATGAAGCTAGCCTGTCACCCCCTAACACTGTGTAAACTACATCCTGCACCTGGTATTTGCTCCACCTGCACTATCTTATAGCAAATCACCCCTTAGAGCTGTTTGCATTTGCGGAAAAAATGTCCCAGGTCGATAACCCAGAGACGAACGGATTCAACTATCTGGCTGCCAGACCCAACTACCAGGCTGCCTGACGTCAGTGGAGACTTTTAAAATAATGCAAGGAGGAGGATGCAAAACCACTTCACCTCTTTGATTCTTATCACTTACCCTGGACTACGAGTTCCACCTGTAAGACTCCTTACTATCCCCTGGGAGGGGGCACAGTTCTTGAGGTGCTAGCCTGCCATGTTCTTCCTCCAGCAAAAGGAATAAGACCACTCTGTTTCTTCCAAACTCTGTCTCCATATTTCTGTTCAGCACTGGTGGGCTGGAAGCCGAGATTTTGGTGACAATTTCTTTGTCTTCTGGCAAACAGTGACCAGGAGCTTTTGTTTCTATTTTACAGAATAGAAGGTTACTTGGGGAGGTCTGCCCAGTATACCCAGCATGGTATCCTTGTGCGCGTGGGGCGATGCCCACCCCCTGGTCCAGCAGGGCCTGGATGTCCGCCTGTGGAGCCGGGATGACTGGTACAAGACGTGGGTGTGAGGTAAGAGAACTGCCCTGCTTTTGTTCTGGCACCATATGCTCAGGTTCTGGGTCCTAGAAGTAGCCAGGGCCATGCAGAACCGTGAACATGACACACGACACGACCGCTCCGAGCTGGACTGGGAGAGCCCTCGCTCTGAGAGGCGCAGGCTGGGTCCTTCACAGGCACAAGCTCACCAACTCCTCCCTGTGTGAGGCCAGAGGTGGGCTTTGTCCGAAGCCTCAGATGAGGTCTTCTGGGGAGCTGCCTGGTCTCTTCCTGGATCTGGTGGCATCTGGTGGGACCTGGAGGGGCCTGGCGAATCTGGCGGGACCTGGTGGGATCTGGTGGGCAGGGGCCTGGCTGAGGCTGGGCAGTGTGAGACCCTGGTACTTCCAGTGTGACAGCCCTGGGCTGAGCATCCATCTGTCTGCCAGAGTCCAACTCCTGGAAGCTTTCAATGCCAGGAGCTAATAAAATTATGTTTACTTTTTGTCTGATTTAGTTTGGCTTTGACTTCTCTTATTTCAAACCAAAAGAACCTTAGAGAGATGCTACTTCCGTCTGTAAGAGAGAAGTGAGACTCAGGTGATGCAGTGAGCTGAATGTTCAAGCCCCCCCAGCATTCATATGGTGAAGTCCTAACCCCTGTGGCATGCTGTCTAGGCTGGCCTTCAGGAGGCGACTAGGTCACGGGGGCAGAGCCCTCACCAAGGGGACTAGTGCCCTTGTAAGAAGAGACTGGGTCCCCCATGCCCTTCCGCCAAGCGAGGACAAGGCAAGGAGATGGCCACCTCTGAACCAGGGAGGGGGCCCTCCCTCGACCCTGCTGGTGCCCTGGTCTTAGACCCAGAACTGTGACCAGTAAAGACTAGTCTGTGGCATCTTTGGTCTGGCAGCCAGAAGGGCCTGGACAGATGGGCAGGGAGGTGCCCAGGGTCGCCTGGCTGGGAACAGGGGCAGCCTCTCGGCTCCCATGGCTCTTATCACCAGCAAATGCCTTTGCTTCTCAAGCTCCCATGAGCATGGGGTTCACCAAGGAAGCTTGTTAAATGCAGACAGCAGGGCCCCACCACAGATCCTGTTCTGCAGGTTCCACTTTCCACAATCTGCATTTTCCACAAAGTCCCAGGTGATCCTGGCACAGACCACATCTTTGTTGTTCAGTCGCTCAGTCGTTTTGCCCGACTCTTTGTGACCCCATGGACCGCAGCACATCAGGATACCCTGTCCATCACCAACTCCCAGAGCTTGCTCAAACTCATGTCTATCAAGTCGGTGAAGCCATCCAACCATCTCATCCTCTGTTGTCCCCTTCCCTCCCGCCTTCCATCTTTCCCAGCATCAGGGTCTTTTCCAATGAGTCAGCTCTTCGCATCAGTTGGCCAAAGTATTGGAGCTTCAGCTTCAACATCAGTCCTTCCAATGAACATTCAGGACTGAGTTCCTTTAGGATGGACTGGTTGGATCTCCTTGCAGTCCAAGGGACTCTCAAGAGTCTTCTCCAACACCACAGTTCAAAAACATCAATTCTTTGGCGCTCAGCTTTCTTTATAGTCCAACTCTCACGTCCATACATGACTACTGGAAAAATCAGAGCTTTGACTAGAGAGACCTTTGTCAGCAAGGTAATGTCTTTACTTTTTAATACACTGTCTAGGTTTGTCATAGAAGTGTTCAGTGATCTGCTAAAGTGACTCACAAAACTCAGGCAAACACTCCTTATGTTTACTGCTTTATTATAGTAAAGGGTGTGACCTATATACAACTGCCTGACTTTCAGGTGTGCACATGGCCACCTGACCTGTTTCTTTTTTTAAGTTTTTGGAAATTAATTTATTTTATTTGGCTATACCAGGTCTTAGTTGTGGCATGCAGGATCTTTAGTCTCAGCATGTGGGATTTAGTTCCTTGACCAGGGATCAAACCTGGGCTCCCTGAATTCATTGGGAGTACAATCTTAGCCACTGGACTGCCGGGGAAGTCCCAGTCACCTGAACCATGGATGCATTGTCCAGACTCTGCTGCAGGTCAGCAGGTAAGTTGGAGATGAAGATGTGTAAGCAGGAGTAGTGTCTGAGAGCTTCTGGAAATCTCCTTGAAGTTGGGGAGTGGTCAGATGTGAAGGTTGGAGCTCCAGCAGCCACTTTGGGAGAGAAAAGGGAAGTCATGAGCAGCAAGGTAGAGGCATTCTTGGTCATTAGTGATCCTAATATGAATTCATGTGACCTGGCAATGCCAACCTCCATGCTTCCTGTACATGAAATAAAATACACTTCTGACTTATTTTAGCCACTGTTATTTTGGGTTTCTGTTTACACAGCTGAACCTAATCATGGGAATAACAAGCAACACTGGCCACATCTGTGACTATTCCAAGGCAGCTGCTGCTACCGGAACACACAGGGCCTTCATCAGCATCTCTGCCATGTCCCTGTTCTCATGGTAGCCCTCAGTCCCCAGGATGCTAAGAAGAGCTGACCACTTCGACCCTCCTCAGGAGGCAGCTTTTGCATGTACTGGGAAACCCACCGCACCATCTGCAGCTCTGCCTCAGTGTCCACCTCGCACCACAGCCCCTCTCCCACCAGTTAACGTGAAGTCTCACCTTTCTGATCTTGTCACCAGCTAAGAACTCCTGGACCCAGGTCTTCTGCCCTGCAGACCACACCCTCCATCACAGCTTCTGGGCTGAGACACAAACAGAAACACAACAGGGAGGCAGAAAGTCTCCAGAGGGGCCTGGGAGGGATACTTGCAGTGACCACCTGCCCTTGGGCTGGCTCAAGGAGGATTGTTATCTCCTTATGTTGTGCCTCTTGATGCTCTCTGTAGTACAAGGTGACACCCCAGCTCTGGGGATGCAAGGGAGGTGACCATCCAAGTTTACGCAGCAGGTGTGCTGAAGGTCTGTCCAAACCTAACCTGTTGTCTTAACATCTGCTCTGTGTGAACAGGCTGTGATGTAAACCATGTACAGCCTGTGTTCAGGTGTTAATTCCCCAGCACCTGAAACATCTGCACTGCTGAGGGAGTGTGTCACCTGCCCAGGAGGCCTGAGTCCTGCGTAGGAGCAGCTGAGCCACCCTGGTCATCTTCAGTTTGTTCCCAAAATGCAGCCACGTTGCTGTCTGAGACAAACAGGTCCTGTATAGAATGCAGATTCCGGAGGCCCCAGAACTCCAGGGGTGGGACAGGAAGAAACAAAGGCTCCTGAGAAAATTCATGTTCTTAGGCCAAGGTTGCTTGGAAAGGCCAGGCCCTCCTTCTAGACCTTCATGTCAGCAATCAAGCTGTCAGTTTATGAACCATTAAGCTGACTGTGCTCACTGATGATATTTTAGATTCTACTGAAATTGATAAGCTGATCCACCTTTTGTAATAATCCAACGATGCGTCATCCATCATGGTTCCAGCTTCAGAAAGAGGGCAGCAAGGGTATGTCCTGTAATGTTCCCATCAATGTTTATTTTTATTTAATTATGTCTGGAGAGCAGCACTCTCTGTTTGGATGGAGGACAGTTAGGGAGGGCTTGTGAAGGGAGCTGAATGGGAGGCCACACTGGTGCCCTCTTTATTCCAAGGGAGATCCAAACATGATCTGAAACCTGTAGTCTTGTTCCATCTGGCCCACACGCACACCACAGGCCGATGCTGAGAGGACGCTGGCCACAGGAATGCGGCATGTGGCTGCACAATCTTCCCACCACACTGCCACCCCTGTTTGATGTCTCTAGGATGTCACTTAGACTCATTGTCACAGACACACCCGTTGTGTCCTATGTGAGGAGATTCCATTCAGAAGCAGCTTGGACAAACAGTCCCGGGCAAAATCCTCCAGGTCCTCCAGCCATGCTCCGGGAGGCAGCCCGACCAGCCCTGGCTAGCCACCCACCCACAGTGTGTCCGGGCAGACACGAATCACCTGTCCCCAGGGTCAGCCCTCCGCGCCCTCAGGAGTGCCCATGAGCCCATGTTCCCCCAGCCCAGACAGCCCCAACTGTCTGTGGAAGCACCAGACCCCTGAGGGCAGCTGCAGGGCCCGCTCGGCTCCTGAACAAGGCCAGGCGTGGAGCAGAGTGGGTCCAAGGCCAGAGGCAGAGGGCTCGGCCACGGTGGCTGCCACAGCAGCCTGGAGAGCTTGGACGCTGAGCAAGGAGGGATGCGTCACTGGCGACCAGTCTCTGAGATGCTGCTGAGGAGAAGGAGGCCGTCTAGTGGCTCTTGGTTTTCCACAAGTACTTGTGAATCTGCGGTGATCCTCACAGGGTCCCACCCGGGTCTGACCTCCCAAGGACCAGTAAACAGCATCCGTGGCAATGATGTACTCAGCATGGACCACGGGGCATTTGTGGAGTAAATGCACAGCTTGCCACAATTATAATGAGTCAAATAGAATCGCTGAAAATCACCAAAAATCTATACAAAAATGGGTGCATCATGCAGTAAGTCGATCTCCTTGCATCTGGACTTTGCAGTCTAACAGCCAGAACTCAAAAACAACGCACACATGCACATGTGTACACAAGCCTATCGCACATTCTGGTAGAGAGTCTGGAAAACATAGTTTAACCGTAATTTAAAAAACACACAATACTCTTCATTGTAAGTTCCAGACAACCAGTCGACTCTCACAGGATACTTCTGTTGATTTTTGGAGAACTCTTATATCTGTCGGTAACCTGTGCTTGTAGCTGACCAGCAAGGGTCCTTTCCACACGTTAGTGGATTTCTTTCTTTCTTTTTTTTTGCCTTAATGGATAAGACAAAAGTGAAGCCACAAAACTCAATCTGATCTTTTCTTGCTTGTCAGCGACTTCTTTCCTGAACTGGATCTTAGTTTTCTAATAGTAAAAGAGTATTTCCTCCATATTCTTGTGCTGTTGGGTATATTGGCTTCAACACAGTATTGAGCATAATCAGCACATTAGCGTTTTCTCTCCCCTTTTACTGAGTTGAGACTCTCCAGAAAGCAATACAGGTGGGGTGTAAACACTCCTGCTCAGACCCTGTTCAAGCCACACCTCACAGGACTGACAGAGCGGGAGCGATGGTCGGCGGCCACTATGGATAGAACTAGGAAAAAGGAGACACAGGAGGACTGAGGCACGTATGCTGCCACCTGACACCAAGACCAGTGATGAATTATGGCTACAGAACAAAAGGCATATGCATCAGCCTCACAAAGGAAGGGTGAACGTCTGAGAGGAGCTGGGAGATGAAAGCGGAAGGAAGAGGCAGAGGCATGGGCAGTGCTCACGTTGCAGGACTGTAAACAGGCCAGCGCATACTTGAGGCTGCTGCTGAGTTGCTGAGTTCTCTGTTCCTGGGAGGCCCAGGCGTGGGCTCAGCTGTCTGCTGCCCTGGGTTCACTTTTATCTGGTTCCTTGCTGCTACCTCTGGGTCCTGCAGGATCTCCTCCTCTGTTAGTCTCCTCTCCACTCCTCTTACTTGCTGAGCCTCTCTTACAATAAAGAACTCTAAAAGAGCTTTTCTTGATTAAAATCCATTTACTCCAAAGTTCTTAGGCAGCATTATAAATACTGGTTTTAAACACTAGCCACAGGATTATAGATAAAATCAAAACTATTTCCCAATGAAATTTCATCTAAAAATATACCAGCCTCTGCTCTCACCTTATTTTAGTAAAGCGCATCAGAGGGAACACTGGACCTGTGTCCAGGTGAAGGTCACTTATGTCTCTTTATGTTATTTCCAGGAATTACTCAAGAGTAGATGAGAAAAAAAACAGAAGGGAGTTGTCTATAAAAAAAGGTTCACATAAACAGGCTTTCTCAGTCAGGGAAAACACTTTTCTGCTTAAATTCAAATAAACCAGGACAAAAGGTATACTGGCCCTGAGGGGGCTTGGACCCAGCCACCTGGGGTGGATATTACTGCTCATATCGCTGGAAAAACCTGTACTGCAGAGTCCTGGTAGCTGTTCCTTTGTCTTTCATTCTTCCCTTGACCTCTGAAAGCCTTTCTCTCCCAGAATTCAGGTAGTGGTTCTGGAAGAACTGCAGAGGCAGCACAACTGATCGGGCTACTTAACCCCGTTCAAGTCAGTGAAAATGAACAGATCGCTTAGAGTCATGGGTTCTTGATTTCATTCTCCATTTGCAACGGTGAAATTTGCTTGATAGCATGGTTAAATATCTCCAAATTATAATTAATTCTAATTAGCCAATAAAATCTTAGTACACTAAAATCTTGATTAACCAGAACTGAAATAGTCAGAATTGCCATGCCGTATTCTATTTTTAAGAGAGTGACAGATCGAGTAGAAATACAATCTAAAACCAGATTGTGATACAAATTTCAGGCAACATTCTGGGATTGGTTTAGCACTGCTCTCACCTGGAATAAAATTTGCCCATGGGAACCATGTTTTGCCTGGCCACTCCCTTCCTCTGTCCTGCCAGGCCCAAGTCCCCTCACCCCTTTGACACCATTTGGTGTTGTTTCAGGGGGTGACAAAGAGCTCTGTTACCATAGTTCTTTTTGTCTCAGTGTAGAAAAGAATTTAGTGAAACAAAGTGACAGATAAGAAGTGATCTATTAGAACAGGATGTTTGTGAGGTTTACAAACAGGTGGGTGAGAAATGCTGTGCCCCAGAACTTACTGGGCTACAGTTTTTTTTTAATTAATTAATTAAGCTATCCATTCTTGTCTGTGCTGGGTCTTCCTTGCTGCATGGGCTTGTCTCGAGTTGTGCCAAGCGGGGGCTACTGTCTAGTTGTGGTGTGTGGGTTTCTCATCGCAGCAGCTTCTCTTGTTGCAGGGCACAGGCTCTGGGGCATGTGGGCTTCAGTAGCTGTGGCATATGGGCTCAGTAGAGCCCAGGCTCAATAGTAGCGGCGCACAGGCTCAGTGGTTCCATGCATGTGAGATCTTCCTGGACCAGGGATGGAACCCATGTCTCCTCCATTGGCAGGAGGATTCTTCAACAGTGAGCCGCCAGAGATGGGCTACAGTTTTATAATCAAAGGAAAAGTGGGGAGAGGGAGAACTTGTCTTTCTTGAGAAGATGTCATGCTTCCATCATCAGGTCCTCCTCTAGGTTGAGCAAGGACTTTGCTTGTCTCCACGTAGTCAAGCTAGGTCCACAAGTTACTGTTTTCTGGTCAGAGATCGTGTCCGAGGGAGCATTGACTTATTGAACTCACTGGGCAGTATGTGGGTCCCATGCTGTCATTGTTTCCTTCTTTGAGGGCCTGTCTGATGCTTCTGCAACCTGGTTTTGTCACTGAGCAAGCTTGCTTAGTTTTGCAGTTAAGCAAATCTGCTTCCTTGAGTAATCATTAACTTACAGGGGTCTCTCCTATCGGTTTCTACTTATAATCCTCCAGCGGGATTAACTATTTAATCATCTACTTTGTCACTTCTGTCTCTATCACCTCCATACCCTGGGAGTGTCATGTCGTCCCCTTTCCTTCCTGGCGGGCTTCCTCCCAGACTATATTTCTGCCTTAGTCAGTTCAGTTTAGTTGCTCAGTCATCTCTGACTCTCTGCGACCCAGATATCCCATGTTCCTGCTTGGACCCAGCCAATCATATTCATTTCAAACACTGGACTGAAGGCCAAGCTGGTATTCCTTCCTTGACCTTTGTTTTCATTGCCTTTGAGGAATACACCACTCTTGCCTATAAGAGTTTAGGACAAGACACACCTTTCACCCCCCATCCCAATACTCATGCACCTCACAGGCCACAGCCCCCAATTCTCAAGAAACATAACTCAGAGGGAGTGGGGAGAGCTGAGTGGGTGTGCTGTCTGGGTGCTGTGGCACCTCCCAGGTGGGCAAAACCTGAATAGGTAAGGCCTGTGTAACCACCTGGCCCACCTCCCACACAAAGGGGAAATGAGGCATTACTCTGACCCTTAGCCCAGACTGCATGGAGCACATTTGGAATGGCAGTCCTTCTCTCCCCATTATTGGGTAGGTTAACTTCATGTGGAAAGGAGGACACCACCCACCTGAAAGTGGAAATGACCCTGCAATCCCCTGTGGGGCCAATACTGTCTCAGTCTGGGCCACCCATTCCCGGCCCTAAGGTGGGGGGGGGGGTTACTGGAGTGGGTAGCCTTTCCCTTCTCCAGGCCAGAATACTGGAGTGGGTAGCCTTTCGCTTCTCCAGGCCAGAATACTGGAGTGGGTAGCCTTTCCCTTCTCCAGGCCAGAATACTGGAGTGGGTAGCCTTTTCCTTCTCCAGGGGATCTCTCCAATCCAGGGATCGACCTCAGGTCGCCCGCATTGCAGGCGGATTCCTCACCAGCTGAGCCACCAGGACAGCCGGAAGCCACTGGGACATATTAGATGATGACGATCCCTTCTTCGTCATTAGTATTCACTTAGAAAACCGTAATTCATTGGGAGTTCCTGTTAGAGAAAACCTGACACTGAAGATTAAACACTGCAAGTATCTTGTATCCCTGTTGAAGGTAAACTGCACTGTGAAGCTTAAGCCTAAAGGCCGAGGCCCGCGCCCCCTGTGGCCGCGCGGGAGGAACCGCCAGCAAGCTCCTGCCAGGTACGGCGCGGAGGCCCCGCGCACGCGCAGAGCTGACTGCCGACCAGAGACGGGACGGAGGTCCCGCGCATGCGCAGAGCTGAACGCTGGCGCAGCGCCAGTCTCCGCTGATAGGCGAGGTGAGGGGGTCGAGAGAGGAGGGATGGCGGCGGACACTTTGGGGAGAAGGGCCAAGATGACTGTCCGGAGAGCTGGGGGGCGGGCGCTGTGCCGGCTGAAATCCCAGGTAGAGCGTCTGCCTCCGAACTAGGCAGTACCAGACGGCCTCGACCGAAGCGGCCGGGAGCGCGCGTCGACGGGGAGGCGGAGACTGCGCAGGCGCGGGAGGCGGCGGCGGCCCCGGCGCGCGCGGGTTGGACGCTCGCGGGCTCCGGGCGGGTTGAAGGGGCCCGCTGTCGCCTGCCCCGCTCTGCTCAGGGTCGTTTGTGGTCTGCAGCCGCTGCCATTCAGGAGCCTCTGCTGGGAGCCGGCCGTGCCGTTCACGCGGCGCAGCTCGGGCTCGGCCTGCTTTCGGCGCGCTCTGTCCTCCCAGGCTGCGAGCGCCGCTGACGCCATCGGAAGGCGACCGGAAGCGCCGGCGCCGCGTGGCCCTGTGCCCAATGCTCGGTCCCCGAACCCCTTCCCCGCCGTCTCTCCGTGTCCCGTCCTTGGTTACCTTCTCTGACTGCAAAGTGGGCCTCTCTGATCTGTTTCTGAGGCCCATGGGGAAGGATAAGAAGCGGAGTAGGAGGAGAGGGAGCAAGGAGTGAAGGAAGGGCCTCCCTGCAGACTGTCCGCTATCAGGCCACGTTCTGGTTGTAACAGGCGCGGGTGAATTTGTCTCTTTCAAATAGATAAGTGTTTTACGCTTTCACATTTACATTTAGTGTATCTTCCCCACTGTTGAGTGACGTTCCTGGCCAGCAAGGAGACCACCCAGGATGACCCACCTCCCTGGGGCTCGGTCCTAGGTGTGCTGTCAGAGAACTGGGGTCCTGGAAAGAGGGTTGGGGAGGGTGTGTGCCTGGCGTCTGCCCTCGCCTGTGTTCTCGCAGCCCCTCCTAGCTAAGGTCTTCCATCTCAGACAGTACTGTGTAGATTTAGCCTCTCCGACTTCTTCCTGTTCTCTAGGCACCCGTGACCGCGTTCACCCAGAGGAAGGTGCATGGGCCTTCCTGCATGGGCCATGGGACAGTGAGTGGGAGGAGTGGTGAAGACTGGGCATTTGTGCAAAATAAACGTTGAAATACTAAGCCGCGTGTGTTAGCTTTATGTCTTTTAACCGTCATTTCAAGCCTATGGTTTTTGTAAGTCGTTTCAAGGGTTGTAGTTTGTTCTAAATCAGAAGTACTCTGCAGTTAATATTTCAGCAGAGTCTCAAACTGGATGGGGAGGGAATGCAAGCAGAGTGCTTTTGAGAAGTTCTGATCTAAAAATATACCCTAGACCACCATTTCTTGCCACCTCCCCAGGGTTGTTGTTGTTCAGTCGCTAAGTTGTGTCCAACTCTTTGCAACCTGGTGGATTGCAGCATGCCAGGCTTCCCTGTCCTTGGCTGTCTCCTAGAGTTTGTCAAACTCATATCCATTGAATTGGTGGTGTCATCCAACCATCTCATCCTGTCATCCCCAGGGTAATTGATGCATGTTGTGAGACAGTTGCTTTGAGGCTATGCAGCATCCAGTTTCTTTTCAAGTTTTTGCCTAGTTGCTGGAAACAATTACAAGACTGTTTGCCTAATGGTGATACTCTTGTTTCTCTCATTCCTTATTTATTTATTTTTGGCTGCACCTGGTGGTATGTGGGATATGCAGGATCTCAGTTCTCCAACCAGGGATTGAGCTCATGCCCCCGTTCCTTGGGAACACAGTCTTAACTTCTGGACTGCCAGGGAAGTCCCTCTTTCCTCACTTATTAATAGGACTTTTCTGTAGGAGAACACTGCTCCTTCCATATTTCTTTTATTGAATGTTTTTATCATGAGGACCCAGATGTAAGGGTCTATGGGAGGTTAGTCAGTACTGGCACACTCATTACATTAAAAGTAAAGATTATTTTTTCCTCAGATCATTCCAGCTTTGGCCATTAAGAGCTCTTTCAGACTCCTTGATGTTTACTCCATGAAATCCTCAAGGCTGGCCTTCTTTTCAGCAACCTGTTTGCAGGTGAAGAAGTTGTGGAAGAAGTCATGCAAATCGCCGGTCCCAGGAGAGGGGCTTTCCTACATATATGGCAGAGTCGAAGGATGAAGGTGGCAGTAATGGTAATAGTGGCCATTTGCTGGGTGTATTGGGTAGTGGGTGAAGCACTTGGGACACAGTTTTTATTAAAATCTCATCATAAACCTTCACTTTCCTGGTCTTACCCATGAGGAGACTGAGTCTGGGGGTTTAGGGCCTGAGCTGGGTTCTCTCTGCATAAGAGGAGGTGCTCCAGGCATCTGTGCCTTCCCTGTTTGCTGGGCATCCCCACCGGGAGGGCATCCACAGGGGAGGGCATCCCCACCAGGAGGGCACCCCCACGGGAGGGCATCCCCACTGGGAGGGCAGTGCTGTGCTCGCCTGTGTCCTTGGCGATGGCACCATCCTTGCAGGGCGTCTGATAAAAAGGGCCCTTTCTGTGTGCACATTGGCACACGCTACACCCATTCCCAGTGGAGATGGGAAACATGTTTTCTGTTTTATCTAGAAAAGAGGAAATAGGCAGTGTTATTTCATAACATTTTCTGTTTTGGAAAACCTGGATTTTTTCCACATGTATTTTTAAAATGTCTTAGGAGCAATCCTTGGAGGAAAAGACATGATACAGATTTCACCAAGAGTTCCTCCGCTTTTCATCCACATCTTCAAGAAACAGCTCCAGGAAGAAGGGAAACCTTTCATCAACACACAGGGCTAAGGGATGGACTTGCAAGCAACCTCGAAGATCAGCTCTCACAGGGCTCTGGGACCTTGCAGCCCCGGCCCGGGTCTTGGCACGGCCTTTTCTATAAGGGGAGGTGTGCTGCCCCGTGGTCACTGGCTGCCTGTGAGAGAGCCAGGCCTCCAGGCTCAGCATCGGACCAGCCTCTGACCCCCTCTTGCAAAGGAAGGGGGGTCGGGCTTTGTGCTGGACCTTTGTTTCTTGAGGCATGTTTGCCCCGTGTGTGAGCCAGTGCCACTGACACTCTGTCCTGGCTGTGTCTCAGGCTCCCCCAGGAACAGTGGGAGCTGAGCAGGCTGAGGTGGCCACAGGCCGGGGGTACAGTGCAGCTCCATGCCCTTCCTTCTCACCAGGGCTCTGTGGAAAGTTAAGAAATACAGAAAGGACAAACAAAGTAAATGAGACACAAGTCACCCACAGCACAGGAAGCTGGGAATGTGGTGTGTAATCACTGAGACCACAGGGATATTTCCGCTGAGCCCAGGGCAGAAGGACTGTGGGCGAGTGTGGGTGCGGTTGGAAATGCAAGAGCGTCCTTCCCACCCAGACCCCTGCATGTGCAGACCTGAGGGGAGACAGTGAGGGGGCTGGGCGGTGAGGCTGGAGGACATGGAGAGAACAAAACACAAATGTGGAGTGAACGTGTTTCCTGTAGAAAGTCAGTGGTGACTTGAAAATGGAACAGGGACAGACAGACCTGACCTGAATGGGACAAGCTCAGAACAAACTCATCCAGGAAGGCAGAGGCTTCCTGTGAGGTGACTCAGTGTCACTAAGGTTACAGAAACAGTGTGAGAGGGAGAGGCAGCCACTGACTCTGGGCTCTGGTCTGGATGCTGGGCAAGGATAGGAGAGCAGATTGATTCTCCTGGGTTCTAAGGACTCAGGATGAGTCCAAGCAAAACTGTATCTGGATATTTCTAAACCCACTATGTGGTCAGACTCCCCCAAACCAGCTGTTTCCTTGCTCTCTGGTCATCCAGTCCCTGCCTTACCCACACCCACTTGCATGACTGACCTTCCCTCTTCATCCTAGAGCCTAGTCAGTGAAAACCTTCCTGCTTGCCCTCTGCCCCCCAGCTAACAAGTGTTCTAATCTTTAGATCCAAAATCAGTGCAGTTGGTGGCTGCAGCCATGAAATTAAAAGACACTTGCTCTTTGTAAGAAAAGCTATGACAAACCTAGACAGCATATTAGAAAGCAGAGACATTACTTTGCTGACAAAGGTCCATCTAGTCAAGCTATGATTTTTCCAGTTGTCACGTATGGATGTGAGAGATGGACTATCAAAAAAAAAACAAAACTGAGTGCCAAAGAATTGATGCTTTTGAACTGTGGTGTTGGAGAAGACTCTTGAGAGTCCCTTGGACTGCAAGGAGATCCAACCAGTCCATCCTAAAGGAACTCAGTCCTGAAAGTTCATTGGAAGGACTGATGTTGAAGCTGAAGCTCCAATACTTTGGCCACCTGATGCAAAGAACTGACTCATTGGAAAAGACCCTGATGCTGGGAAAGATTGAAGGCAGGAGGAGAAGGGGACAACAGAGGATGAGATGGTTGGATGGCATCACTGACTTGATGGATGTGAGTTTGAGTAAGCTGCAGGAATTGGTGACGGACAGGGAAGCCTGGCGTGCAACAGTCCATGGGGTCACAGAGAGTTGGACACAACTGAGCAACTGAACTGAACTGAATCTTTAGATCTGCACGTCTCCGCCTTGATAGCTTATCACAGGGATAGTTGGGGCTGTGCTCCTCCACTGATTCCCGACAGATGAGCTGACCTGACGTCAGTGCCCCCACAACTCCCCCTCCCTCCAGAGGGAAAGCAGTCCTCATGTCCTGCCCCGTGGCAGTGGGGCGTCACTCCAGGACCTTGCTTTAGACCCTCCAGGTCTGCCTCCATGAAGCCCCGATGTCTGCTGCTCACTCTGGGCTCTCTCTCATCTTGAAACTGGGCAAGGACAGGTCTTGCAGGGGGCAGCCCGCCACCTACTAGTATGATTCAGAAGCTCATCTGGAAAGA